TACGGAGTACAAATTACTATTTTCAGTAATTATAAATTCAATACATAACGATTATAAATTACTATTTTGGTGTACACACTTTTACACATGTCCGTGCATCACTTTTTTGTCTGTTATAGACAGATCGTATTTGACAAAATACAATTTGTCTGTAACAGAATAAAATGCTACACAGATATGTGTAAAAGTGTGTAGAACAAAAAGTGTGTACCTTTGGATTTTTTCCTACCACAAAGGTAGGCCCATACATTTTAGAGTATCTCCAATGGTAGAATGTGCACGGTGCACATGTGGCATAAAAGATAGCCACATAAATATTAACAAATAAATTATCTCTCTCCTTATTGGAATGATTTTATACGATTTTGATATGTTTTTCCCTGCAATGTCAACTGCAATGTCAACATCTAGACGGTCTCTTTGACATTGTAGAGAAAAAGCTACCAAAACTGTATAAAATCATTCAAATAAGGAGAGAAATAATTTATTTACTAATATTTATGTGGCTATCTCTACATGTGGCACATGTGCACCGTGCACATTCTACCATTGAAGATGCTCTTAGATCAGAGTGATCAGGTACACAAGTTACACAAAAGATTGGTATTTTTTTTAAAAAAGGAAGATAACTTATTTATTTGTAATGAAAGTGACCAAGAGTAAAAGAATACAATAGCTTAAGATTACACTGAGATGAGACATATAAATGATTAGATCCCAATGACTGATCGTAATCGCTAACCCCACAACGATGTAAACTAAGCTAACAACATTGTTGAACTTGTTACTAAAATGTGATGTAGCTAAGCAAAAATTATTTAAATAAAAATAACAAAATAATTCAAGGATCCCAGTTTTACTAGCCACCAGAAAGGAGAAGAGGTTTGTTCATCCACCTCCAATAGAAGCATCCCGATTTTATCAGCTATCAAGAAGGGAGAAGATCGATGATGAGCCACCTCAAACGAATCTTCTTGTCTATCAGTATTTTACGCGGTGCTGTTCCATAAGCACTACCACCTTGCTGTTTTTTGACTCCTTCAAGGCACCTCACTCAAACACCAGACCACCGCTCTCCTCGTCCTCAGCCGACATCCTTCCATAAGTCTGATTTAAGATCTCCATTAATGGCAAATGAAATGAACACCAGATCCGAGACAGAGACAAAGAAGCAGCGGAACACACGGCCACAAGCCCAAACATGTTCACAATTGGAACGAACCAAACCCTAGGTCAGGTAAAAACTCAGCCAGACATAACAAACACGAAATAAAATCCAAACAATGAAGAAGAACTGAAGCACTCCTTAATTTCGTACAAAGCCCACAGAGCCGTCAGGCAAAACTTGTATGAATTGTTAATTTGCTATCACATCCATACACACGTTCTAATCTTTTTCCTCGTTGGATAAATCAGAAGAAGATGGGCAGGGAAGGCCGCCACATTCTCCTAGGGTTTCTTCGTTGCGGATACAATCATGTATGTACCCATTCAGTCTTACGAGTCCATGTTTAATGCTCTGATAGAATTATTATTGTTCATTATTCTAAAAGATTGCTATATTAAGAATTGAAGATTGATCAGTAACTAATTAGAGTATCTTTTTATTTGATCAGACCTGATTAATAAATTACACTTTCATGAGACCACCTCAATCAAAATAGATACAAATGAATCATGTCCTAGCAAGATGTACACACCAATTACAACTTTTACATTATAATTGTGCGAAACAAATAAGATACATACAATTATTTCTTAAGTTTTACGTTTAGCCATACACCTAATCAATTCGTGATCAAATTTTGCATATCAGCAATTGAGACTAAATATAAAGGTAAATATTAAAAAAAGTCAAATCAAGTAAGACACAACCCTTGTAAATTGGTACAAAATGGTACATTTATTGTGGTGTTTCTACATGTATCCCAATTCCCTCTTGACTTTGATGACCAAATAAAAACGGTGTGTCCTTCAATGCACTGCAGTTGGTTTTAAAATAATCCACAAATTAAAGCATTTCAGTCTGTTTAGACAAAAGGAGGACTTGTGGGATAAGAAGACAAAACTAAGTGTGGCATTACTCATTAGACATTGACGAAGAATATGTGGGATAGTGTCTTCAATGTTGAGCATCTTGATACCATAAATCCTCTGCATTGCTTCTGTTGGTTTTTTCTGAAAAGTGGTTTCATTCAATTGCTTTATGATTTCCTTTCGTTTTCAATATTTGGTCAAATGTACATTCTTTGTGGATAACTGTGAAATGTTAAAAATTGTAATGAGTCCTTGCTGATGTTTAAAGTATCGAAAAATCTCAGGAAAAAATCTAGTGTGTAATTCAATAATATGCTAGTAGCTATTTTTTTTATTAAAGTTCTCATAATCTTTTCAAACGCTATCACGTACTAGAGCACTCTTTAACCCACGCATGGTGTTATGATGTTAAAACACGGAGGAATGATCAAAAATCAAAATCCGCATCGACCGCTTGAAGGTTAAACTCTTGTGCGATGGATTTGATGTCCGTTACGTTGAGCTGTTTAAGTAATCGTTATTTACAACCTCTCATATGTGCTAAAGAGTCGTGGCGTTAAGAGCCCTTAAGGTTGGAGATTCAACCTTTTCAAAGTTAAAATATAGTAGTCCAGTCCTCATATAGGAGTGACCTCGACCACAGCCTAGGGCCCACGAGACAGACGGGCCCATAAATTATACTCCCTTCGTCCCAAAAACAACTTCCCACTTTCCTTAAATGGATGTCCCAAATTTAATTTCACACTTCAATACTTTCCTTATTTGGCAAATTATATACATCAAAAAAGTGATAAACTGTGCCAAACAGTGTTTAAACAGTGTCAAACAGTGTTTAAACAGTGTCAAACAGTGTTTAAACAGTGCAAAACAGTGCACTCTACAGTAAAGTCAAATTTATTTTTTAAAAGTGTGTGAAAGTCAAATCGGGACGAAGGGAGTATAATTGTATGTGATACACATACAAATGTTTGTGTCAGGAATTTTCTACTTGGAACATTTTCTAGCCACTTCCATTTGAGTTCCATCAGTCATTAATATTTTGGGAACTATTCCCATGATAATAAAATGTTAGCATTAGGTCACATTAAAAAGATTTATTATTATCGCAATAGATCATAAAAACAATCACATTAGAAAACATCTACGTAGTATTACCCATTTCCGCTAACACCACTATTATAGTCATCACCATTATTACAATCCCCAGTATACTATTGACATGATCCCAAGGTTTATTGAGTCTATGAAAAAGTTTATTCTTGAGGAAATAAAATTATTGGATTTATGGGATATTATGCCTCTCGATCATCGGTCAAAGCACTTTGAATATTTGAGGAAAGGAGTTTGAAAATAAAAATTGTTCCTAATTTTCTAACAACGAATGGAATCGAGAAAAATATACTATCGTATGAAACTATGAATCAAACAAATTTAATGATACGGAGTAGTTACAGAATTTTTGTATGTGAATCCTCAAGGTTGTAATTTTTTTATTTTGTAAATTTGTGTAAAAAATAATTATTTAAATGGTAATCCTATCTGTAAAAATTAGACATGGCAATGGGTCGGGACGAGACGAGTACTACAAGACTCGGACCTGCCCTGTGACTTCACTGTAGGGATGTCAAAAAAATCCGACCCGCAGTGACCCGCCCTGGCCCGAGACATTTTGGGCGGGTCCGCCCCGCCCCGTCTTCCAAATGGGGCGGGTCTGCCCTGCCCCGCCCTGATCCGTGCCGCCCTGACCCGCCCCGACCCGCCCCGACCCGCTCAATACATAAGCATACATATTTTTTCTTAATTTATACTACAAATATATACTTCAACATACATATGTGTGTATACAGTAAATCACAAATTCTTTGATCTTATAATATATTAATACATTTATTAGAATGAGATGAACGACGTATTATTAATGTCCTCTTTATATATAACATTTTAATACATATGTTCAATTATTAGTATAATTAAATAGATTAACTATTCAAGTCTGAGTAATTTTTTTTTTAATTTTTGAATTTTTTAGGGTATCATGAATTTGATTTAATATATTGATTTTTAATTATTATTTAGAGATAAACTTTATGTAGATTCAATTGGTAGCAATTTCTCACAAATAAAAATACATACTAGCTAATTAGGTTACGGCGAGGCGGGGTGGGTCATGGGTCAACAAGTTTGGACCCGTGCAGGTCACGGGGCGGGCCCGCCCCGCCAAGTCACGGGGCGGGTCTGGGTCTTGCAGTACCCGCCCCACCCCGACCCATTGCCATGCCTACTTCACTAGGTGGACCCACCCTGCCCCGTGACCCACGCGGGTCTAAACTTATTGACCCATGACCCGCCCCATGCGGGGTGGGTCCGCCCCGCCCCGTTGTAACTCAATTACCTAGCATGCATTTCATTTGCGTGAAGTTGTTACCACTTGAATCTACATTAAGTTTATCTCTAAATAATTATTAAAACATAATATATCAAATCAAAGTCACAATACGTTTAAAAATTAAGAAAAAATATTTAGAATTGAATAGTTAATCTATTATACTAATAATTGAATATATAAAAGACATTGATAATTCGTCTTTCATCTCATTCAAATACAAATATTACAAAGTAATACTCAGTATATTATAAGACCCATAAATTTATGATTTATTGTATACACATGTACGTATGTATGTAGAAGTGTATATTTGTAGTATATTTTTTTTTTTAAACCCAGTGGCAAACCATCCTAAGATGGGGTAAGGGCTGGGGAACACCTTACCATTTATTAAAGTATGGAGGAAATGGGAAAATACAAGGTAGGGGGACTAGGCCAAAACCTACCCGATAGAAAGAGCTAGATATCATACGGGAAAGCAATAGCATCAAACTTAAGGATATTGCAGAATCTATTAGAGTTGACATCAACCCCCATACTAATATCTTTTGCTGCGCGGTTTATCTTTTCGTGAATAAGGGTGATCATGATATGGTTATGTCGCAGAATCCTTCGGATGCAGGAGATATGGAAGATTTGATCCCAATGATTGATGCACTTCAGATTTATGGCCTCGAAAACTTGGGGGTTATCAATTTGAATGTCATTGAAGGTGATACCATTGTCCCTACAAAAGATGAGATAGTCATAGTAGGCCTCAATAGAAGCTTTCACTTTGGAGTTGGACGAAATGTTTCGTGTGTGATGGGAGGTCATGTGGCCCTTATGGTCGCGCACCAAAAAGCCAAAATTATGAGAGAGGCCTCTTTGGGTGTGAGCGACATTAAGGGTTCGATGGTTTGTCCGAGGAGGGATCCACGACACTACTTTCGGTCTGCTTCTAGTGGGCTTAATAGGACTCTGAATATCCTTGAGGGAACTGATTTCCCGTCAGATATTGTATATGGCCTCAGAGTAATCAGGGGAGATATCTTCATATAGGGTGCTGTTTCTCAACTTCCAGAGATTCCAAAGAATGACAATGTAAGTAAAAAAGGATTTGTGACGTGTCCAGTTAAGGATGATATCCTTAACATTGCCATCCAAACAGTGACTCTGCAAGTCAAAGTATCTCCAAATAGGAGCGTGGGAGGGACAACGCAGAAAGAAATGTTCGATGGAAACATCGTGGTTGCAATGTGGACACTTAAAAGGACCATAAAAGCCCATTCTCTGGAGGGAGTCAGCATACACAATAAGATTATTGGAAATCCTCCAAAGGAAGAAAGAAATCTTTTTAGGGATGTAGTATATTTTTTTAAAAAAATGTACACTTATATATTGAGCGGGGTAGGGCGGGACAACACGGGTCAATATTAAGATCCGGCCCGCCCCACTGTATGAGCGGGGCGGGACGGACCCGCCCCATTTGCAAGACGGCGTGGAGTGGACCCGCCCCAAATATCTCGGGCCAGGACGGGTCATTACGGCACTGTTTTTTTAAATGTCTAGTAAAAATTTGTAAGTTTGTAATGTGGTTATGTCATGTACGCGTCATTTATTTACCTATCTCTATCAACTCTACAAAGTACAGTACATTTTTATACGAGTATTATACGATAGTATTATATACTACGTCGGAGTAGTATTTACTTAAAGTTCACTTTATAAAAAAGTAATATCCAAGATAAGAATAATTATTACATGCAAATAACAGCAAAATGTAACTAAAACAACCTAGATCGAGAATCCGAAACAGGACAATACTAATGACTACGTAAAATTAAATAACTTTATGTCGATGGAATGGAATTTTGTTACCTAGTTCTTTGAAGAGCATACAAAAATCAGAACAACCTAAATGAAAAAAAACTTCAAAATTTAAGAGAAGAAAACAATAATTTCTGAAATTAAGAGAAGATCAACTGAAGGCCCCGGGGAAAAAATAATCCGTAACACCGCTAAGCGGGCCATTGTGCTACATACAACAGACTGGTCATAAGTTTTAGCTTATTTTTCCTTTGGGCTTTACAGTAACAGCAAAAAAAACTGACACTCTGTTTGTAGAATTGGGCCATATCATAGTTGTTTTGTCAGCTTGCCAGGTCTGTCAATGATTGCGGTTTAGAAAAAGAAAAAAAAAATCTTTTAATAGGTGCTTGACGAGCCCATTTATTTACATTCAAATAGACTAAAATTGAAGAAATTCTATTCAAACGATTAAATTAATTGACACCGTTTAATTGCGAAAAATCATATTTGAAATATATTCTATTAAGAATAAGAATATAGAAAAAGTTATTTTTTATTAAAGTATAGATAAACTAATCATATTAAGCAATTTCAGCAATTTAATTAGAAAATAACTCCAATGTCCTTTCTCACATTCAATGTATATATATACTCCAAATCATTTGTAGACATGTCATTTGTGGACTTTCTCTGTACATGCCTTTCTAATGGGCCTTTACGACTTCAGCTCACTACCAATCATTTTCAAAGCTGCTGCAACATGAGGATGCTTTAACTCCTTGTCTATGGAAGTTTTAAAAAAAAATATAAAAATCAAACATCACTTTTAATTCTCATAAGCTTCTCCACACCATATAAGTATGTATAAAATAAATGCAATTAAAAAAATATGACCTTTATGCTTAGGTGACTATAATAATACTCCCCCCTCTTCTCCAAAAAAGGGCAGTCAAATTGACTTTTCTTGGTGAATGACGAATTTATTTTGAATATGAAAATGATATCAGAACTTTCATTATTCAATATATTTTCATACAAGGATAAATTTTTTAAATTATATACAAGTATAATAATAATTAATAATAATTGTCAAAAGTATGTCATCATTGACCCAGAGAAATCAATATGACAAGCATTTTCTGGACGAAGGTAGTAACTAATAACTTTAGTGATCATATATTAATTTTAAACTATAACGACCTTGATGGTATACTTGTAGTAATTATAGAAACACCTTTATACATAAATTTCATTCAAGTAATATTCAAAGAAACATTTCTTCTTCAATACCATATGTCTCACATTTTCATTATCTTTTTAACATCGGCTTTTCAAGGATTGTTGTGAAGATCTGGATGGTACTGCATTGTTCTAATTAGCTTATAATTGGTAAGTTTTATCAGGTAAATGTACTTTCTCACGTCTAAGTGTTATGAAAACTTAGTTATAGAGCAATGCATGAATATAAGACAAAAGACCTCATCGGAATTTCACCTAAATGTTTGGTTAATACTAGAGTTCCTTGCTAATTTGTATGATTGGGAGTATGATGTTGCTATTATATTCCCAACCACTTGTTGGCAAAATGGATTTACTTTAAATAATGACCACATTTGAGCTAAATTAAAAATAATGGATCGAGAATTAGTTTGTGATAGGATCAAGGTTAAGTCCTAACGTATAATACTCTGAAAGATGAAGTGATGAACACAACCATATATATTAAAGTAGTAAAGGTTTATATCTATCTATAATCTATCTATAATAATATAAAGTAACAAGGTCTAACAACTTGCTTTTCCCTCCAATTAGACAATTAATGCTCTATACCAATTCAACAATAAGAGTCATATTAATAATTTGCAATTAGTAATAATAATAGGCATAGTAAATACTAAATAGTAATATATTATGGAGTAATTGGAATATTTTCAATTCAAAATAATAATAATGATAATAATATTATTAATAATAATAATATTAATGATAATAATGTAATAATATGATACATAATTGACGGGATTTCAGTTAACACAAAAACATATTAGAACGTTTGCAACATTTTGATTTGAATGTTTTCAATTATAAGCTACACCAGACCAAATTAAAAGAAACTAGACCAAATCACATCAAATTTAAATACAATAGACTTGATCAGATCAGAATAGATGAGTAAAATATACATACACTCGACACTTACCGGACCAGATCAGATTAGTCCATCAGATCAAACTTAAACGGACCTGATCATAAAACTTTAGTCCAATTAAAAACATCATTATTGTTGTCTTGCAGTACATAAGAAAATTTCAATGACATCTTATAGGTATAGGTATAGGTATTGATAATAGTTATAATAATAATAATAATAATAATAATAATAATAATAATAATAATAATAATAATAATAATAATAGTCTTCTATAATAATACGAAGTATAAAATAACAAGGTTGTAGCTTCCATTTCCCTCCAATAAGACATTTAATGATTTCATACTCATTAAACAATTAGAGGTACATCAATAATTAGCAATGATAATAGTAGTACTAAATAGTAATATACTATCTATTATGGAGTAATTGGAATAAATTTCAATTCAAAATAATAATATAACAATACGAAGTAGTAATATATAATTGGCAGGATTTCAGTTAACACATATTAGAACGTTTACGATATTTTGATTGGAATGCTTTCAATTATAAGCATACACCTTTAAAGAGTCACTTTTTCTACTAAAATGTAATACTCCTTACATATTAATATTGAGTGTTTGATAATATAAAAATTTTGAATTTTAAAGCTATACTATCAAGTGTTTTGCTAATTGGATGTTTACAAATTTTCCAGCGTTACTCAATTAATATCAAGTGTAGGATTTATCTTCTTTAATATTCTTCCTTGAATATTAATTAATTCATATTCATATTTCATATTAATATTTTGAGCATTACTTAAAGGATCAACTAGTTATGTTTCATATATTAATTAATACTAGAATCGATAGACCAATACGCTTGTTAATCGTTCGGTCGTTTCACGGTAGTAAACTTGGATTATTAATGCATGCGTCTCATGGTTAATAATCTAACGGGAATTAATTATATTGATTAAACCAATAAACCACTTGTGTTGAGGTTATCAATCACAATCATTTTCATCTTAAGTTTATTGCTACTATCGGGTTAATATACGATGCGTGTTCTATATTGACTCGGTAGTAAGTTTTATTAATGAACATGTCTCGTTATTAATAACTACCCTCGATGAATTGGATATACTCCTCGATTGAGTATTCGAGAGGAAGATAGTTAAAGATATAACCGGGATCGACAGACATCTCATTAAGTGGAAATGAATCGTGTGCTTGAGGATGACCCCTGGCTGTTTGAACGTGATCTAATTCTTTTGAAAGCTGTTCAGCCAGATGATATATACCTGAGACAATGAATTTGTTTGAGGCTGAATTTTGGGTACAGGTTCACAATGTACCTTTTAAATTTAGAAATTTGGGATCTGTCAGGGAAGATTGGGAATTTCTTAGGCTCTTTTATGAAGTTTGATAAGAGCCAATTCGAAGGCAAGCAGAAATCTTATCTGCGTATTGAAATTTGTATGGATGTGCGGAAACCTTTAAAAAAGGGTACTAGCTTAACAAAAGATGGGGCTGGACATTGGGTGGATTTTAAGTATGAGAAGCTACCCAATTTATGTTTCATGTGTGGGATAATTGGGCATTCTGATAAATTATGTCCATTGAAGTATGAAGAGGGGTTTGTACTAGAGAAATCCTTTGGGGGGGAGCTCAGAGCTGGAGGAAGGGTGAAGACCAGTCCTACAGGACCTAATAAGTGGTTAGTTAATGAATCTTCTAGTTCTGAGGGGTACGGACAATAGCGGAAGACTGATCTTGGGGGCGAGTACTCGGCAGAATCAGGTGCTAGTGCATCCCAGCAAGATAGGTCGGGTGGCAAGGAAGAAGAAACCCCGGGTGAGACGAAACGCAGAAGAATATGGGAAAGTCAGGCCCAAGGAGGTATAGCCGGCGAAGGGATGACACTGGATGGGCCAAAAAATGGGTAGGCGGCGGGTCAATTTCCCTAGGCCCGCCGAATGTTCATATGGCTGTGATGATCAAGAAGACGGATGTTGGTTTTATTTTTATTGTTTGTTTTCTTCATGGTTGGATTGTTCTGCTTTACTTTCATTATTTTATGTTATGTAAGACTCTTGCATTAGGTTTGAGGGATGAGAGGTCTGCGGCAATCGTCATTGGCTTTAAGTTGCCCAATTTAGGTCTAGCGAGTTATATTGCTTTATTAAATGTGATTAACTCTGAGTCTCGGCCAAGGGCGGATGATTACATGTGGTCCTTTTGTTGTCTTGTACCCCTGTTGAATGCTATTTTAATAATATAAGCCCCTTGCGATAAAAAAAAACTAAAAACTAGAATCATTTGGGTGTGCTTTAAACCGTTTTTCACTTTTTCTATTACATCTTTTTTTACCAAATACTCCAACTTTTACTCTTTCAAAATCTTTTTCATATAATATCGGGAAAACTGTCAAATAGGTCCTCGAACTTTCATAAAAAGGTCAATTAAGTCCTTCTATAGGAGGTTCTGCCCGCCCGTCGCGATTTGGGGCAGTTCCCGGTGGAATGTTTTGATGAAGTTTTTTTAGCATCTTATTCACCAAGTCTAGTTTACTCATACCAAATTTTAGCTAAAAATTCAATCGGGAGCACATTTAAATTAATTCTTGAAGATAACTACGCATTTTTACGTTCTCGAATTAATTTGAATGCGCTCCCGATTAAATTTTTAGCTGAAATTTGGTATGAGTAAACTAGACTTGATGAATAAGATGCTCAAAAAATTTCATCAAAAAATTCCACCGGGAACTGCCCCAAATCGTGACGACCGGACAGAGTCTCCTATACAAGGACTTAATTGACTTTTTTATGAAAGTTCGAGGACCTATTTGACTGTTTTCCCTATAATATCTAATATTAACCACTTCTCAATGTAGAAGTAAAAACAAAAACACTGGGGGCGGCGGATGCGGCGCAGGTGATACTGGGGGGGGGGGGGGGGGGGGGAGGCGGGGAGCTGGTGTTCATCCCCCAGGAGCTGAGGGTGGGGGCGGGGGAGACGATCGAGTTCAAGAACGGGAAGGCGTTCCCGCACAACGTGGTGTTCGAGGAGGATGAGGTGCCAAGCGGGGTGGACGCTTCGAAGATCTCGATGAGCGAGGAGGATCTGCTGAACGGGCCCAGGGATACCTTCAAGGTCACCTTGACGGAGAAGGGCACTTATTCCTACTACTGTTCGCCTCATCAGGGAGCCGGAATGGTTGGCAAGATCATCGTTGAATGATCCATCCATCCACATATGCTTGCTTGCTCGCTTGCTACTTCATTATGAAATACTCAGTTTGCACTGCTTCCCTCCTTGTTCTAAATTAATAATTAATGTCTCTAGATCCACAATGGATTGACTATTTTCTCATATCATATATCAATGCATCTCCATCTGTCCCTAAAAAAAAACACATACCTTCACTGGTTTGCAAAAGCAGTTTATTCTCATCTAACTTATTTGTTGGACACAACCACTGATATTTGTACTTCAAATCATTACACATTAACAAACATAATGCATTGTCTTAGAAAAGCTAAACATGCCTAAACAATACTACCCAAACTAAACTTACTACCCAACATTAATTGAATTCTCAAGCAGTGAGAAAGAGAAGTGAATTGATGAGACGCTGCATCAAAGTTTAAATCTTTGAATGCCTATGCATGACAGCATGAGTAATACACCAGCACCATACGGTCCATACCAAACATTTATGAAGTGAAGTGAAATGTTCTCCAACACTTCATCAAAATATCAACATACAGATACACTAACAGTCTACTACTTCACTACATCAAACTTCAATTGCGAATTCAAATTATAACCCATTCACAATTCACAAACATGATAACACCTAAATTATATATATGCACTCCCCTGATCCCTTCAAGGACATTTGATAAAATTGGAACGATACAGAGAAGATAAGCATGAACGGATGACACAAACAAATCAAGAAATAGTTCTTGTATATCCTGGTTTTGTGGTGTCCATTTTCATTTTACGATGACAACAATGTGAACATAGAATGCAAACAAATGAATGAGTACTAGCCACGCCGTTGATGTTTATGATGCCTTCTCCATCCGGGACATTTTTTATGGCTCTTTAAGTGCCTTTGCTGTCCCAGTTTAGCTAGCTCACCATAGCTGCTGCCTAGCATTTCCTCTTCTCAGACTTGCTGAAGTTCGGCTGGTTAGATTAAGAAAGTAACTAGATTGAAGTCATATCAAGATTTTGATTTAAGCCATTCAATCTTCATGTTTGATTTTGTAGCCCACAAATGATAGTCAACCTCATGAGTCAGTACCATAATCCCACAAAGCTCCAAACAATTGAGCTAGGGAGCAGATCAGTTTAAAGTATGTAGTAGATAATACACACGATCAGACTTAAAACATTAGTCTGTATACCACAAGTCCCCATACAGCAGTAGTAGTTCCTATAATCTTAAAACATGACAATTAACTGGAACCATTAAGGAATTCAAAATAATGATAAATAAAAACAGAAATGATGAAATCAGCCCCCCTTTACAATGTGGTTTTATTAGCAGACTCGCCATGGCCGGCCGAAGTAGATCGTCTAATAGAGTCAATCCTCTGCAGCCTGATCTGCTCTCTAAATCTAGCTATAAACTCATCAGCTTTCTTATCAACATCTGGTGCTTCTTCATCCCCACTGTTATCAGTATCACTATTGTTATTATCATCACCGCAATTCTCTTCGACACCATGATCATCCTCTTCAATTCTTGAAGAAACAACAGCTTCTTGCTCTTCTTCTTCTGCAATTTCTTCATTATTAACATAAATTTCTTGGGTTTTCCTCACTGAATATGATCTTCTTGGAGGTTCCTCTTTCTTGACCTCAGTTGAGTTGGATTTCATGGATGAAGACTTAGGAGGAGGAGGAGGAGGAGGAGGAGGAGGAGGGGGAATCTTCTTCTTTCTAGCTATCTCCTCATCAGTAGATTGGGGAGGAGAAGGTTTAAGCTTGTTTGGAGAAGGAGAGGAGGATCTTGTCAATGATTGCGACCTAAAAGATCTTGTCTGTTCTGGCTGCTTATTAAATTCTGGGTCCTCCATTGTTCTTCCAGCAGATCTTGACCTCCATGGCAAAGTCCGGCTCTTCATTTTTTCCCCATCATTTGTTTCCTGCAGAGTCTCATCTTCTTCTTCTTCAACTCTTGATTTCAAGCTCCTAACAGGCAAAAGAAGCGGCTTTTCACTGATTCTTGCAGCTTTATCGTTCACCGCCATTACTACCCTTGGTTGACCTCTATGATACTGATTTCTCCAGGCCTGATCAATTATCTTATTGCTTCTGTCAATTTTTTCATCAAAAACGACAGAAGCCCCCTCAGATTCTTCTTCATCATCATCAAAAACTGAAGAAACCTGAAGCAATCCAGAGACATAGGATTGGGCATTGTCAAGCGTGGTCTTTGTTGCTGTTGACCCATCGTTTTCTTTATCTGTTTCATCAGTTTTGCAGCTAAACAGGCCGTAAGAAACGGCTATGCCGACGCAGATGAGCTGGAGGACTTCCCAGATTTTGATGCCCAGAGTTTGGTTGAGGAACTCTGGAGCTTGTGAGGGGAAAAGATGGAGAAAAACGAGGAAAACTACAACAACTATGGGTTTGAACATGAAGTGTTTGTAGTACTTACTTGTTTGGTCGTCTGTTGTTTGTTTCGGAGGAACATCGGACGAGTCTGCCATTGGAGTAAGTGAAGAAGCTTTGGGGGGACCTTGAGTGTAACTATGAAAGAAGGAAGAAGTCTTTGGAGCTAAGGAAAAAAGAGCAGTGATGAGGAAAGTTTTTGGGTGGATAGACGTTCTTGCCCTTTTCTTTTTTTGTCAATTTCCTTTTATTTTTGACTTTTTGTTTTGTCTATTTCTATTTCTAGTATATGTTCTTGAAAAGGTCAACTATTGCATTATTATATATTTCACTTGTATCAAAATATTTGTCTAGTTTCCTTTTCGATTTGCATTAAATTAAGTGCCACATTTCTTCTTTGAAAAGAAATCTACTTCAAAAATATTTAGAATACATTCTAATAAAGTATTCATTATTGTTGTAGTATAAAAAAATCTCACTTTTCATAAAATATACTAGTACAATAATTCTATAATACTTTTAAAGTAGGTGAAAAGTGAAAACTGAATGACACAAATAGACACCTATATTGATACAAAGAGAAGACATCATAATTAGCCTTTTTTCGTTAATATTACTAAATTAAAATCAAACGATAAAAATATGGCATATTTTAAAATTTTCCAAACAGTTACATATTTTTGTACAAAAACATTATAGTGACTAGTTCATAGTAACTAGTACACAATGACTAGTCATATTTTTGTCCAAAAACGTAACTAGTCATATTTCTGTCCGGTTAAACTCTATTAGTAATATATGTCATTTTTTCTAAGCATTATTGCATTTCGTGTAAAGTTGATACATATTCGCTTTATTATTTTTTACAAGGAATAATAAATAGATCTAATGCTTAATTCACACTTCATAAAAGATAGTGTGATGCTTAACCCATCCGATGTTATACTTATTCATAGTGTTGCCCTCTTTTCTAAAATAATGCCATCAATACATAAAGATATAACAATTCCATAAAGCATACGTTAGGGGTCAAGCATATTACATAATACATATAGTGTACAATTCATTTTAATGAATTATCTCTATTAAATTAAGTATGCAATTTGATGATTCTAAAAAGCAAGTTATTTGATGAATGGATGATAATTAAAGTGAGAAACACTAAAGTATATTGGGTCAAACCTCTATTCACCAAAATTAATAATAGTGTGTCGGTGTACAAGCAATTTGTATGATTTTTCTTTGTTTATATAGAAAATATTTTTACCTACACAATCAATATTTTACCTTTTGATAATATTTGATGTTGTTACCGATATAAAAGCATACAAATGAAATCTTGTATATAGAATAAAAATGTTCTCAATATTAAAAAGGTACAAATAAACTACACAAATTGAATATACAAATAACATTTCTCTTCAACTATACAAAAGAATTAGGAGTATCAAATTTCTAAAGTAACCTAGGCATTTTTTCCCTTTTTCTTGCAAAAAGGAATCTTAAATCACTCATAAATAAATAAGGAATAAAGATGATTAAAAAAATAAATAAATAAATAAGGAATAAAGTTTGGGGATGAGGGGCAAATTCGGAAGGCAAACAAGGGTAGCAATTTGTGTTGCGAGGGATGATTTGGTCAGGGATTCTGCTTTCGGCATACGTACGCTAGTCTTTTGTGGGCCCGGATTCTAATTATTAAAAAAAAAATAGATACTCAAATTGTCCTTGCGACTTTAGTTGGAGGCAATGCTTTTCTTTCTCCAGTCTTCTCCCTCTGTATTCTATCTTCTGAAGGACCACACAACTACACAAGAATACAAGATTTATGCATTAATTATTTAATATTATCCCTTTTTGGATGGTAAAAATCATAGAACCATAGTGTGACTTCTTATTTTGTTAGCCTCTACAAAGAAACTCAACAAAAAGTACCTTAAGAAATAAGAAGATAGTGGTGGTGCATAGAACTGGTAGATAAAAGTGTCTTAAAAAGTAAATATGTTTTTACTTGGACTACTTTTAGTCTCAGACCAAATCAACAAGACCAGACATAGAGAATTATACAATACACCAAGACTAGACGATCGTCAGACCAAATCAGACCAGACTAGAAAATTCCAGTCCAAGTACAAAATATCATGAGTCTCGAATCCAAATTCTACCAGTTGCGGTGCAAATTACTATATAAAAATGCATATAGTTTCTGCAAGTATCTGGACTGGAAGCTCACTTGCTATCTGGCAGCCTTTGCTTAAAATCCAACATACATTCTCTCAATTAATTGTGTAGACGGTGCTAGAGGTCCTTAGAGATGACATGTTATCCTTTTGTGAATAAAATCTTTTTTGAATAAAATCTTTCATTTTTAATGAGGTAGACTTAAATTATTTATTTTACGGTTTATTCGTGTTGTTTTTTACTCTTTCATATAAAATAAATGAATGTAATTCTAAGTTCTTAGACGGTCAACGAATTCAAATTCCAATTACTCCGTATGAAAATTTGGTAGTATTTGTGTTACAATGTTTTTAACTGGACTGCAATTTTCCGGTCTGGTCTGATTTCTTTGTATTTTTATAACTATCCAAGTTTGGTCTAGTCTGGTCTGATATGGGACGAATTACAATCCAAGTAAAAACATCCTTAAAATCAATCACAATTTCAATGACATAATCTATTGAGGCTTGTTTAAGAGGATTGGCGAAGGCGTATATGAACAACCGGATGTACGGTGTCAGCTGTATAGTCGGTGGCAGTTTTGTAATTCTGGTGAAAAATATGGCCTCTCTTGAATGAGCATTAATGCAATTTTGATGAGTATCAAGCCTGTTCTTTTGAGTATTAACAACCTAAGAATGAGCATCAAACATATTTTGTTGAGTATTACAAGCCTAACAATGAGCATCGTAGTCTATGCTTCATACTCCCTCCGTCCCATTTAAAGGTTCCCGTACACTATATTCTCCGGTCAACATGCATTGTTCTTAATCTCTTACTTTATATATCAAAAGTTTATGAAATTTAAATTATTTTCTGCAGGTGTTGTAGCGGTTTTAATGTAGTTTCTGAATATGTAAATTTTAATTACTAAAAATAATTCTACTGATGACAGGGATCAATTAACTTTATGATCAGTCAAACATCGTAAATCGTGTGGGAACCTTAAAGTGGGACGGAGGGAGTATCTTTTAATTCACTTTCTTTTTCTTATTTTTTTTATAATAACTTCTTAAATTAAATCTATAATCAACACATATGTGCTTGAATATGCGAATTTAACGTAATATTGTATTTTTGAAATACGCATTGATATGACAAATTAAAAATGAGTATAACGTGAGTATCAATCAAGCATACATAACTTACAAAATGAGCATTATATGAAATCATAAGTTTTTTTAGTTGAGTATCAAGATATTTTCACTGAGCATTAAATCTCATTTATTGAGTACTAAAAACATGCGATTGAGTATCATGGTTTGTGCTCATACGTGGTTGATATTTTAAAATTGTGTTCACTTTTACAATTTTGTATTTGGAATTTATAAGAAATAAATTGAAAAAATAGGGTCCCAAGTCCAGGTCAGCTAGGTCATATGAAAAAAAAAGAGCAGGTGGCGCTGATGTGTTAATTTCCGACGGAATTATTACTCTCCGGCATAAATGTCCTGAAATTGGACAAATGTGTTAATTAGAGGACGTATTATGCAAGTAAATGAAGTTAGAGGACCAATATCGGGCACGGCCAAAAGTTACGGGACTAATTTAACAAATCCGTCCATATATATATATATATATATATATATATATATATATATTCAATTATCAATTTTATTAAATATATTAACTATACAAGTCTAAGTATTTTTTTGTTAGTTTTTGAAATTTTTAGCGCATCGTGAATTTGATTTCATATATTATTTTTCAATAATTATTTAGAGAAAAAAATTATGTAGATTCAATTAGTAACAACTTCCCTCAAATAAAAATACATACTAGCTAATTAGGTTACGGGGGGCGGGGCGGGTCATGGGTCAACAAGTTTGGACTAGTGCGGGTCACGAGGCGGGTCCACCCAGCTCGATCGGCAATGACAGATGAGGATGGTGCGGAAGCCACACTGCAAGATATTACAAAAATATTCGGCTATACCATGCTCAAGGTACAAACGATTGTACGGTGTAATTTACCAAGATTGGCCTTAGTTATCAACGCAAAAAAAGAATCATAAACATTTCATTTTTTATTAACATTAATGCTTGGTTAAACCCTATTTATTTATCCAATACACAAATTACAAAAAGTACAAATACAAACTCTTATCGATAATACGTGTCTGTTTGAACAAAATTTATTCGTACATGCAAATAATGGTGTACTTTCTTTGCAGATTTGTCAAAACAGTTGTGCGTAAACCAATGTAGGTGTACAGAGACACAAATATATGAGTACAGACACTTTTTATCTGTACAAACAACTTATCACGCCCCAGACCGCAATCCAAGCGCGTGTACAACCGCCGTATAATTAAGTGACGTCACCCGCGAGTCAACCTCACTTAATTACACAAGGCGTTCGAGAAAACAATCCATCCATACTCAGTAGTAAACATACATAACAACATCACATTTAAACCAATGAATAGCGGAAATATTCAACGGTAAGTCATAAGCCACAACCGGCCAACAACATGGGCATGCAAGCCCCAAAAATAGTTTATAGTAGAACAAATATCCATGAGCAAATGTTCGGTGGTTTGAAAGAAAATAAGGAAGCACGAACCACGTCTTCCTGAGTTGATATCACCCGTAAGAAGGTGCAAGTAGCAAGCCCTAGCTTCAACCTGAAAATGGTGTCCCCCCCGAAGGGGTCAGTACAAGTACTGAGCGAGTAGCAGGCTAAATATAGAATAACTAGTGTTTCAAGTATAAGACCCAAACATAGGGTGATACTTAATTAATTAGTCTTTTCCCCCAAGTTATGAAATACTTGTTAGTATATATATACTTGGGAAAATATCCGATCCGTAGATCACCGTTTTATTTGGGAAAAATAGTAATAGCCAATATTCTTGGCTAAAAACCCCAACCCACCCATATACCTATGAGTGTATAGGACTCCTCCTTGTCCCTATTCCAATATCATAATCTATGAGTTTTGAGGATCATAATCCTTGGATACTCCACCAGTTTGTGAGTGTTAAGGACTCATAAGTCCTAGGGTTTTCCACCAAGTTTTGAGTGTTAAGTACTTTTAAGTACTAGGGTCCTCCACCAAGTTTGAGTGTTAAGGACTTTAAATCCTAGGGTCTTCCACCAAGTTTTGAGTGTTAAGTACTTTTAAGTACTGGGGTCCTCCACCAAGTTTTGAGTGTTAAGTACTTTTAAGTACAAGGGTCCTCCACCAAGTTTTGAGTGTTAAGTACTTTTAAGTACTAGGGTCCTCCACCAAGTTTTGAGTGTTAAGTACTTTTAAGTACTAGGGTCCTCCACCAAAATATTTCCCTATGATCAACCTCCTATCAACCTAGATAGAGTCTATATCATACTTAGTCATTCATAACTAATTCAATACATAAAGCTTATGTATCACAATCCATGCAAATCCATGCAATTATGTAAATGTATAATTAACTAATATCAACCGATATTAATTAATCCATTATCCATCGGTCAACGTTGTCGTTGACCGCCATTTCAAGTCTTACACCTATTAACTTAATCATCATATAATTAAGTTAAAAGTATTCATTTGTGCTTCTTTTACCCTTCAAGCAAATATGCATTTTATATAATTCCTCATATCATATTTCAAGCATAAACAATTAATTCTTTTCATACAACTTAATCATGTTGGCTAATCACATGTTTAAATATCTTTTAAACATCATTATGAACACATATAACATTTATTTAGGTAATCTTATAATCAACCCAAAAGTTATTAGATATTAAGCCGTCCACTCACCTTGAACTAGCGTTATGAAGTTCTACCCTTCTTGGTTGAACTCCGGTGAAACTCCGGCGACTTTTGGTCAACTCCGGCGACAACTCCGGCGACTTTTCCAACTTTGTGAAATCACTTGAAATACCCTTTACAAGTGCCTAACAAGGTTTTATAATCATAAAACCCATATTAATACAAATGACCTCAAGAAGGTTATTTTCCGGTGAACCGGCCGTTTTGGCTTCTAAGTCTGTTCTTAAACTTAGAACCATCTTCCACCCCATAAATCCATACTTATAACATATGGAACCATACTAAAGGTCCTTCACATGATAGGTCCTTCATATGGTAGAAGAAAAAAAATAAAGGAAGAGTTATAATAAGGTTATTACCTTAATCTTTTCACACTTTTAGCACTTTAGCTCCTTTTCTTGGGATTCCTTCTTGTTGAGCTTTCTTCAACAATGGGGAAAGGGGCTGGATAGTTTTTGCTCTTCCTGGGCTTCTCTTGGCCGAAAATGAGGGAGGAAGAGGGGTGAGGCATACCCATTTGTCTCATTGAACAAATGAGTGTGGATGGGGGCCACCTCATTTTTGTTTGATGCCATAAAGATCAAATCAAGGCCTCCTCCCATGTTTCTCTTCTCCTATCAGCCGGCCAACCCCTCCAATTTGAGTGGCAAAAACGTGGGTTGGCCCCCACTCATGTGGGAGGTCAACCCTTTTTGTCCCAAAGTGTACAATCGGTCCCGAAAGTTGTATTTTTCGGACTGTTTTAATCATAATTTATTTTATCGGGTAAAATAAAATATATTATGTGTTCCCAATCATAACGCCCCTTTGAAATAATATATATTCCAAAACTTTGATTTGGAAGTCTCCGAAATTCATTTTCGGGCTGTTATCTGTTTAATTGTCGGTACCGGTAATTGAGCTTCTTTTGACCAATCGGTCAACCCCAGGCCTTCCCATGGCCCAAATAAGATGTCCACCACCATATAAATATTATTTCGACCCATAAGAATAATTTATGTGATCTCGGGAATATCGGGCGGCCCCCCGCTCCCGGTGTGGGTCCCACGTGCAATTTACTATTCACGCGAAAGAAATAATAAAAATTTACAACTTCGTAAATTCATTAATCCCTTGGTAAGGTTCAATACATTATTTACATAAAAGTAAATATACTTGGGGACGGTGTTACACAACTAATATCAAAGTTAAGTTGTTTGTCTGTACAAACAAAAAATGTTACATGTAGACAACTAATGTATGTAATTATGTATACACAAATATTAGTTTGTGTGTAAATCACATTGATTGACGTACTTTTTTTTGCAAAAATGTCGGAGTGGTTGCACGAGAATCAATGTTTGTGTGTAACACTTTTATTTGTATACACAAACAACTTAAACCTGACATTAGTTGCACTACAAGAAAAAGGCTCATTAGCGAAGGGAAAAATGGTCACTAAAACTTAAAAAATGGCCGCTAAAGATTATTAGCGACCAAAATATGTGGTCGCGAGTTGGTCCCTATTGCCCTCGCCGCAAAAGACATTTTGCGACCGGAAAAAGACGTCGGTCGCTAAAACAATTTGAGACCAAATTTTATCTGGCCGCTAATGATATCAGTAAGGAACACATTGTCATGGCTTTTGCGACCATGTTCCCTTTGCGAAAACAAATTTGTATAAATACTTTCTAACAACTTATTCCAATAAATAGTGCTTGATGATAAAATATACTCCGTAATACGTACACAAGAGATGATATACAAATGCATAATAATAGGATAAAATCTTCTTTGCATATAATTATTTAACTTTTGGTTCTAAATCAATGATACAAAAAGTATTTAATCATCGATCAACTACATCATCTATTCATCTAATCTACTAAAATAGTTAAAACAAGTAGCTAGCGTCTCATCTTTTCACTTTCCACACGTGATGACTGGGAATGATCCACCCATCTTTGTTTTCTTGATATATACAACATTTCTTTAATCTTTTCAGGATCATATATATACTCCATAGTCCGTATATTGCAAAGCATGAGGTAATTCATCTTCATGCAGCAGCCCCGTAACCCCGTTGACGTCAATATTACATAAAAATGATCCGAGCTATCTGCAATAGCAACCTTAACAATTAACATCAACATGTGTGAATCGACTCTCTTAAGAATTTCATCATCCAATATAAACTCAGACGTTTGTTGCACCTACAACCACAAACCTTAGTATCAGTAAATGAATATAAAATATAAAATATAAAATGTAATACACATCTAATAGAAACACCCATTTAAACATTACTAATAGATATGGGGTAAAACCGGACAAGTAGGACCACATGGATAATAAAAAACTTAATTTCCTGGGTGACCAAATCTTAACTAGCCAGACATTTAATTCTAATGCATAATAATAATACTCTGTAACTACATCATTTTATTATGTGAATGATTCAAACTTCAATAGCTAGAGTACTATAGTTACAGAAATGCAAAACAAATAGGCAGATTCATTAAGAAAGGAATGTCTAAAAAATTACTTCTTCTCTATTTGACAAAGATAGTCCACTTTTATTAATTTCATCCTAAATCTCACAACAATTATTGTACTGCATTCATAAAAACAAAGATAACAAATATTTTTTATACTTAGCTGGTCCATATGCAACCCTACTTGGGAATAATTACACAAACAGATATTACCATTAGTGAACGAATTAAGCCTTCGCTAATAGCATGACCATCAGTTCAACTTAACCAAAGTAACTGCATAGTAGCACATTCCACGATAAAAAATAATATCAGCTAAATACTTTTTAAACCTGCATACTTGAAATTTAACATCTAATTAGTACCGCTTTATCAACTAAATTCTAAGAAATAATCAGTGATATGTAATTTAGAATTGTATGAAAGGCAACAACATTACATTTAGGCGCATCCGAAGTACTTAGTGAATCTACTATTTCTACGACAGAAGCAAGAAGTCACAAAGGTATAAAGATAACTACCAAGCTTGTGTATGATTTCTGCTTGTTTGAATGGAATGTCGTATAGGTGATGATTTTCCAAAGTTGACCGGCCTTCCACTTAATCCTAACACCTCAGAGTATTACTCTGAAATTTATATCAAGCAAGGAAAGAAAATCAGTGCAGCTCAAATATTAACTTGTTATGAAATCAGCTTAAATGTGAAAAGTATAATCCAGCTCATTGAAGACTATATGATTATTCTTGAAATGGAATCACACTGATATATACAACACTCCAGCTTATTCCGATGTTCAAACCCCAATCGATCTCAAAGCTATCATATTGGTTTTCTTAAAAGATGCATATCCTGAACGGGGAAAGCTCAGATTTTCTGATTGGCAGACTGGAAATGCAACTATGAAACTAAACAGATCAACACTCTGAAATAACATAGAGAACGATTAAATTGAAATGATTAAATTGTAAATTGAGAAACATCTTAAATTAGTGATCTTACCCATTACAGATTAACATTGAAAGAAGAATTAAGTACTTTATAATTAACATAAGCAGCAATTTAGTACAGAATAGTGCTCATTAACTATGTATGCGTTTTTATCTATGTGAATTTAGTTTGATCTAGAGCAAGACTTTAATAAAGAACTGAAGTGGCACCTTGTTAAGATCAATAGCCTCGAAAGCTTCCTCCCTGGACAAAAAGTCAGGAAGCAGTCTACTGAATAAGCCCACAACTGGGTTGCTACTGGACTCTCTATTGAACTCCTTGAACTGAAGTGGCACCTTGCATACATACTCTTGTTTTGCGTAATTTTTATTGTTATTTTTGTGTGTAAATTCTCCTGTTATTGTTTCAGTATGATTTCGAACCAAAGGAAAATGAAAAATCTGAGAAATAGCCAAACAGTGTAGTCCAGAAAAAAGCAGAGAAATCATTAAAGGGGGTACCAATATGTAATCAAAAGAGCCCAAATAACAACATCAAACCAAAACTGTACCAATTCACTTGCATAACACATTAAAATCAGAATAGAAAAATGAACAATCAAATTTCTCATACAATGAACAAAACTTGTTGAAATGAGAACAAATAAGTTTCAAAAATTAGATAATAAGAACTGTCTGCAGCACTTTCATAAGATTATTGCTAAAATAGTGATGGGAAAATGTGTTTACCTTGACAACTTGATGTGGCTTTCTGTTTGGGGAGCGGCCAAGTTACTTCGGGGAGCACCCAAGTAATAGACATTTGAACCTGCGAGCAGCTTCTTCCGTTGAATTTTAACTAAAATTTTGACAAATTTTAGTGATAGAAACGAAACGACAAGAGTAGAACAATCGTGGCTGTTCCGAAACCTGGTTAGCTGCTAGGTTTCCTTCGTCTTCTTCCTATTTGAATAATCTTCGTTTTAATTCCTTCCCCTTCCAAAAATGAGGAAAGTGGCTACTATGAAGGCAGACCAGTAGTCGGCGTTTGTGATAGTCTGGATTTGTTCTTCTCCAATTCGTGAATTGAAGTATTGCAGCGAAGACGAAAGAATTGCAGAAGAAAGACCGCGAACGAGCGATGATGTTTCTCGGAGGTTTGATTGAGGAGCGGCCAAGTTGAGTAGAGAAGAAGAATGGTACGAAGCTAGGGTATGATTGCAATCGTGAGGCTAATAAGTCGCAGATGGGCTCCAGGGTTTGTTTTTCAATTTTTTAATTAAAGGAAAAACAAAGAAAAGTACTCCCTAGAAAATAAAAAGTTAGAGCTCTTTTTTGGATTGACCGCCACCCGCCTAAACAAAACTTTTAGGGACGGGAAATTAGAGAAGTAGCGAACGGAAATTAAAATGGTCCGGAAAAAATTAATCATTTGCGACCAGATAAAATTTGGTCGTTATTAGTATATCTATTACGACCATATTCATAGTCGGTTGCAAATTATTCGTCGCAAAAGGTCAATTTTCTTGTAGTGTTGTCTGTACAGACAAAAAGTGTCTGTACGCATATATTTGTTGTCTCTGTACATCGACATTGGTTTCCGTGCAACCACCCTGACAAATATGCAATAAAAGTACGGCATAATTTACACACCCAGACAAATTTTGTTCATATCGATAAGTTTTATCAATAAGTGTCTGTATTTATACTCTTTTGTCTGTGTGAAGAGTAAATAAATGCGGTGTAGCCTAGTGTGTAAGGGTGTACACCAAGCATTATTGTTTTACTGATGGTTAAAATTGACATTGTAACTTTTTGTAATTGTTATAGAATAATTGAAAAAACAAACTCCTAAATCAAGAATAATTAGAAAAGTATCTTCTTATGAGTGTTATCTATTGATTTGTGAAAAACGAAGGTTAAGAATATTATTTTGTTATAAGGTGTACTTGATATTAGATATATTAAGCAGTATATATTTTTAATAGTTTGATGATTTGTTGAGTAAAAAACAAATTGTTTGATGATTTGTTTAATTATTAGCCAAGTTCACTATTTATATGTCATGTATGCCTCTAAATAGTTTGATGATTTGTTGAGTAAAAAACAAATTTTTTGATGATTTGTTTAATTATTAGCCAAGTTCACTATTTATATGTCATGTATGCCTCTAAAAAAAGTAGACACAGAGTTTTCCCCTCATACGCGTACCACAAAAACCAACGTTAATCATATCAACGAATTTCTCTAAACATTATCATTGATTTTTTTATTTTCTTTCCGATTCATTGCCAAAGGCGACCAAAGCAACTTTTTTTATCACTAAAATACACATCCCATTTTCACAAGCCTCATAATTGACATGAAGATTATAATAATACTCCAGGTCATCGACGATAATTACTTCGTACGATAATTGGTTAAGCTGTATTAGACTTGCATTTCAAATAAACTAGATGATAAATTAGCTTCACCGGTGGTGTCATTAAAGTGCATGTACCACCTTGCACTGAGGAAGATTGAATGACCACACACATCATGCTAAATTAATCTCTTGAACAATTTTAAGGAACACTTTTCAGTGTTTATGGTCTCAAACTTTGTCAAACAAAAAAGTACAAACAATTGCCATCTATTATGAAAAACTTCAAGTCGTGTGGGGTGTACTTAATAATTATGAACTACGTAGTATTGTATAATTTGAACATTTTACATGAATATATAGAAAGCCAACAAAGTCTCATAAATTTAATGGGATTATTCTAAGATTTTACAATCAAATCTGCTCTGAGTTGCTTTCTCACACTCTTCTTCCTACACTTAGCTTGACTTTCCCAAGAGATTGTCAAGAAGAACGGCGAGAGGTATCCTGAGAAATAAAGAACACGATGATCATCATGAACTCATGGGCTTTGCCATTTGAATATTAACCGTCTTTGGATCAAGACCGAAAAAGTCAAATAGTTCAACATTAGTATACTCACATTTTAATTGTCGTGGATATACATATGCTAAATGTTTTGAAACAGTAGGATAACCGGAATGGTGGGTACATGCCTCAAAATACATGAAAGAATTCTTGGCAGGACGCCTCATATAAGAGACAAACCTACATGCTAACGCGGTAACGCATTAGTTGCACTTATTTTTGAACCCACTATTTTTTCTGCATCTGGAAATTCAATTACACGACCCACAACTTCGCGAACTTCAATCGTCCCCCCTAAGTTTCCAAATTGACTAATTGATCTGCATCTTTGTATGAGGAGGGCGCCATTGGTTCTTCTGTCACCTTCATTGCTTCATTACAATGTCCACGAGTACTCCATCATCGGACATCTCAAGTGACCAATAGTTGGCCTTAACTCATAGGCAGATTTGGTAATACAAAATGCTAGTTTTATTGTATGTATGGTATATTGATGGTATGTTTAACTTCGCCTCTAAAGTTGATACACAAGCTTCCAATCATGTTACCAAAATTTTATTATGTCTTCCTAAACATATACATTTTTTGCTCGTCCAGTCTGACTTCTCGATGGTCAACAATCGTGCAATCGTGAAAGCTTACTCACCATTATATGTTTACAACATTAGAACTAAAATTAACAGTAGATATATAACATTGATTTATTAATTAATACAAAAGTCAAATGTTTGTTTGGAAATGATTTTATACAATCCCATGTATGCCAAATATGTATGTCAAACACATTTTTATGTAAGTGTAACATGCTTATTGGTGCAACTAAAAGTATATGTTTGGCACAAGTAATTATAAAAATAATCTAATCAACGTGTCAAAAGCATGTATGCATGACATACTTTGTGTAAATGTATTATTATATTATTCATGATACAAATGTTTTATACGTTGATATAACTGATTTTATAAAAATGTATTCTACGTATGAAAAATATGTAAATGTACTACATTTTTGTATAACTTATGGAATATGATACGTTCATATTTTCAACATTTGTTCTATACATATCATAAAAAAACATTTGTTCTATACATGAGGATTATTTGGGGTACGTAAAGTCTACATTATAAGGTGAATTTGCGGAATAAAATTGGTAATAAACTAGTACGAAATGTTTAAACTTAAGATGATGTTGTCTCATATTTTTTGAAAATTTCCCATTATGTAATGTGATATCTTTTATTTAAGTAATTCATACTATAATGATTTCTATAAAGTAAACATGCAAGATACATTTAACATAACACTTGTTCTAGATGGTAATTTGGTCATTTATCATAATTCGGATTTTAATTCAACACACATAGTAAATACTACATAATTTATTATTTTAGTGTCAATTCATCCATACAGTAATTCAGACAACTGTATCAAACTACTCTGGACTTATTCGAAAAGAGTAGATACCCTCTTGGGTTGAGTTAAAATGTAAATCACACAAACTCAAAACGCATAAGGTAGAGTTCGAAAAAGAAATGAAAACTTGTCAAATATAACTTTCATTTTGAATTAATAAAAATTTAGTTATGAATTCGGTAAAGAATAAAAAGATCTAAATTGGGGGTTTGATGATTAAGAAGAGAATTGAATGAAAGCAAAACTATAGAGGAGAAATGAGAGATTCGAAGATGAGGACTATTTGGAAAGGGATGTCTAAGTTCTAGGCACAATTTGAGAGAGATTTTTTTTTAAATGCTAACCCTCCCAGTTCATGGGATTAAATCAAGTTATGGCGCAAGCTAACACCTCACCTCATGTTAGCTTTTTCCTGAAAAACAATAATATTTGATATGAGATCTTAAAAGTAAAGAATTAATTTGAAGAGGTCGGTATATCATCTAGTTAAACCTCAAATTATGCCATATTGAGACTGGGTACAATAATAATACACCGTAGTAGTAATAATAATAATAATAATAATCATAATAATAATAATAATAATAATAATAATAATAATAATAATAATAATCCCTCCGTCCCTGAAAATTGTTCTCTGTTTCCTTTTTGGGTCGTCCCAAAAAATTGTTCCTCTTTCCCCTTTTGGAAAGTTTTTTATGGCTACAATTCATTTACCTTATTCTTACTCAACCACAACCATACATTTCCACTTTATTCTCACTTTCTTAAACTCCGTTCCAAGTCAATGCGGGAACAATTTTCCGGGACGGAGGGAGTAATAATAATAATAATAATTTGTTCTAGAGTAAATGGCCGGGTAAATGAACCAGATTTGGTTTTTTGTTAAAAATTATTTTATTGTGTCCAATTGCACTAGTTATCCTTGTATTTGTGTGTTTAATTTAATTTTTGGGTCTTGTATTTTTTGTTGAAAGGAAAACTAGTTATATTATAACAATCAATGATAACAATAACCTCACAATCACGAAATGCCACACCTCCCTATGTGGCTCTATATAGCCAAACGGCCCTCCCATTCTCTGACTAGACACAAAATAGACCACCCTAAAAAAGCGAGACTATTCGCTAACCATGTGAGAGCTTCGAAGCTTTTAAGTGTTAACGTCCATACAAGCCTTATAGCTTCCACCCACAATTCTAACCTGAATAATGAAGAAACAACCAAACAATAATGAAGACATACATATAGGGAAGGTAATGGGCCGGCTCACTCCCTCGCTGCTCTTCACCCGAGGCCATATTTTGATTTGGACTGATGCTAATAATTTTCCGGGCCCAATTAGAGTTGCTTACAATTTGGACTCCTTTAATATTCGTGCTTTTAGATGGCTAATTTAATTTTTGTTTTAATTTTGGATGTATTTTCTGATTGTGTCAGGTATAGCCCCTGATCAGATTCTTTTTCTCTAGTGCTTTTTGTGTTTGGATGATTTTATTGATTGGGTAAGGTATAGCCCCCCAATCAGTTTGTTCTTACTTTTTCTCCGGCGTACTTTGAGAGGGTATGCCTTCTCCGAAGGGGGGTTTGGCCTAGTCCCCCTTCTTTGTACTTGATTCATCATTATTAATAAAACTTGGCAAATGTTTCCCGACATTTGCCCCACCATAAGGTGGTTTATCTACCGTGTTAAAAAAATCTACTGCTAGTGCCCACAAAGCAGAAATTAACAATAAAATAATAAATGAAACAAACAAAAGTAATTAAAAGAAGCATCCAAACCATATCCGCTCGTTCTTTTCCTGACGGCGGTTAAGGAGGGGGACGAGCAATAACACTTCACCCTCTAGCTTCGCGCTCGACCAATCATAGACCCACTGGTTGCCCCTGACTTCATCTTGTTCCTCCATCTATGTCCTTCCATAAGCTTGATCCAAAACTTAAAATCTTCTCCTGATTGTTGCCTTCCATCGCTACTCCCTTGCGTGTTGTTGGCGTCGACAGAGAAAACTATGCGGCCAAACCCAACCGCGTCCCTGCTTTGCTCGAAGGAGAAACGATGCACCAAACCTGCTTTGTCGACGCCGACTCTTCCATTGCGAGCCTTGATTTGAGTTGCCTGTCGTGATCCCGCCGGACAAAAGCCGCTGCCAAACCTAGAAAGGGTGTCGTCCGCCTTTGACCATAGAACACAATAGGATCCACACTTATTGGGCTTTGTATTTATTTAGCCCATCTAGTATTTATTATGTATTTATTTAATTAATTATAGGAAAATGATATGCCACTTTCTCATGGTCTGTTCATAATCCTTCGCAATGTACTGGGATATCAACACATATGTGTATGTATTCCAAACTGAATGAGTGGATCAACATCTTTAACTAAGCTGAATTTTGCGTCCATCCATTCGTACAGAGAAGTTAGAGCCGCTACAACACCTCTTATTTAATACTCTCTAATATTCATAGTTCTTACTCATGTAGGTATTCAATACAACCATTAGTGCTCTCTTCTTCTCTTCTACTCTATTTATATGTCTGATTGTTGGTTAAAAAGGACTTTCAATTTTTAATTACAAATAATAACTTATTTTTAAAAAACATAACTTTGATGGCTAATAATTTGTTTAAACTTGAACTTTTCTTGAATAAGTATTCAAATAAACCTAGATCTAATTAGTTGTTAATATTTGTTACATACTACTCCATAATACATTTTAGAAAGAAAATATATTTAATAATAATTATAATAATTAATTAAATACGGCCCAACCGGTCCGAACTTAGTTATTCTGAATTTAGAACGAGTCAGAACTTAAAACTTCAAAAAGCTTGGACCAAATTAGAATGAACTGGTATGAAATCGGTCTGAGTCCTATATGGATTGGCCGGTCTTGTTCAATCCGGTTTTCCAGGACCGGAATATGCTCACCAATCACCCTTAGTCCAATGCAAAAGTGTAAACAGTGTAAATATGGCATGAGTTGTAAGCATTTAGCGGTAAACGTTTGTGTGTATATCTCATTGCCACATTAGTGTTTTTTAATTGTATTTAAATTTTCTAATTTGATTTGGTCTGATCTGTTATGTTAAGATTTGGTCAGGTCCAATCTGATGTGATTTAATATGAGACTAAAAACCGTTTACGCTCTACACCTTTATTCTTCCGACTTTCCTAAGTTAACTAGCTATATTCGCACATTGTGCGAAGGGTAGGTGCCCAACAAAAAATAGAAGGGAGTAATATACGGAGTATATTAAAATGCAATCTATTCTAATTTTACTTTGATTTTAAATGGATTCTTCCAATAACATCACGCTCATACTTCTTGAACTATCCTTCAAAAAAAAAAAAAAAAAATACTTCTTGAACTAAATGGCTATGAAACAGCTTACCCATCTCGAAAGATATAATTTATGTGTAAAAAAATTCGCTATTATTTACATTTTTACTCTAAAAAAGCAAGAAAAATGAAGAATCTTAGAGCTCATTTGCCATTTGCCAACACTGAAATTGGCTGGTTCGTTTAAAATTTATGAAATTCTGGCGGAAGTGTTTGGATTTGCTGACTCCGTTGATTTATGCAAAAAATTAAGGTGACAACTCCGGTACCTTTCTAAAAACAAGGGTATCGTACCTAGCATTCATTTGATTGAACCACATCACTTTATCAATTTTAATTTAGATTTAAATAATTCAACTGCTACCTTTTCATTGGTCCATGTGGACAAAGGTATAGTATCTTATGTGTATCATAGAAACTACCAAAAATTAAAGTACTCCGTACTTTTTACTATTTTTAAGATAAAGAAAAATTATACTCCGTATGAAAAAAACTAAAGTGACCTCTACAGTAACTTCAACCGATATACTCAGAGAGTAACTTCAACTTTACCTTTTTTTTATCATTACAAATTCAGCACGAAAAATCAAAAGTAACGTGTTTGATGAAAAGATTGGTTGATAAGCTTGATAAGGCGAAAAACAGAGTTACTAAACGGACTCTTACTAATTTTTTTTAGTGTGTATATATACGAAAAATAATTTTCGCCCTCTCAAAACATATTTTTTTAAAATTACTGCCCCAAAATGAATTTCCTGGATTTGCCCCTGCTAATCGACCGTGTGAAATATCCAGCCCGATTTTATCTAAATAGCCTAAAGAAAACTCTTAAATGAATTGAACCCAAAAAATGATTCTTTTATCATAACCCAAAAAATGATTTACCAAACGAAATATGAGTAAATCACAAAGAATGAAAAAAACAGCCAGAAAGAATTGAGATCAGCTGTGGAAGAATAGCTAATGCAATTCCTAATGAAAGCCGAAATCCAATCGAGGGGATGTACAAAGAAGATAAGGACTATATACTTACGTTTTATAAAGGTGAGGTTGGGGAGTTAAATAATGGCTCAGAGCGATCTTTCCAAAAGAGAAAGAAATTTGAGGCACGAAAAAACGATGAAAGACAGACGTGAGGAATAGGGATGACGAAACCTTCTAACTGCAAAGAGGCGGAATTTTTTGGACGCCGTTCAACTGAAGCTTTATATACGTAGGAGATTTTTTTTTTTTTTTTGACAGAAACCTAAGTTAATTTGTTAGTATTACAAATTTACTACGGAGTATTGAGGAATCCAAGTCAGTAAATTGCGTTATCGCGTGGTTAACTTCTAATTCGGATTCCCTCTTCCTATGCGTGCCCCAATCGACGCCGGTTAACGTGGTTCACCTGGTCCGGTGTTTTCTCGCCGTCCGACCAATACTTGTTTTTCTTCTTGAAATATGGTTGAATGAATTGGAATTGGCACTTTTTAAATTCGACCTAGACATTCCTATCCTATCTTTTATAGACCTCTTTTACAGTTACTTTGAGACGAATCCATTTCTTAAGCGATCCGCACCGTTTCTTACAATTAAACAAGCAATTACTGTAATACGGAGTATATGTGAAAGCGTGAGTTGTAAACAATCCTGTAAGATATTAGGGCCTCTTATTAGAATCGGAGGAGCTATGTATATAGAGGAAGCGAAGGCAGCAACAACGGTTAGGGAAGAGGCGGAGGTTATGGGAGTTGAGGAGGCCGAACCTTCGCCTGGTAATGGGGAAATCGTGTGCAGGGACGAGGGGAGCATTTTAGCGGCGGATTCGAGACGAGCTTTGATAGGCGTCGCAGCTCGAGCTCTGTTTTATCCCACTTTGCTGTATAATCTTGTTAGAAACAGGATCCAAACGGAGTTCAGATGGTGGGACTGGATTGATGAGGTACTTCCCATGCGAGCGATTTATGATTTCATATCTAATTTGCATTGCACCGAAATTTTGTGTTTTCTTTGGCTTAAACAGGTACAGATTTATAGGTACTTGCTTTTCTATTGGAACTGGATAATTTTTAGTGTTTTCAAACAATTCAATTAAATTATTAATTATGAATGGATCATTATAAAACACTATGTTTAGTTCTACACTTCTATTCGAATTAGAGGGATTCAGGTACACTTGTTTGCATTTCTATTAGACTCTTGAAGCCAATGGGTAGGAAAGGGAGGCAAGTACTCCGTATTAAGATATGTTTGGAAGTTAGAAAGTTCTAGGGAATGGAAAATCAAATGCTAAAGAAATTTAGTTTTGTTTGGTTTACCTACAAAAGTGTAAAGAAAATTTATACATGATTAATGGTTTTTTTTTTTTTTACGTATATTTAAATTTCTTAGTTTCTAGTTTCTACTACCTCTGTCCCACTATCTCTGGGTTGAGAAAGTGGCACACGTATTAAGGACTTAAGGTTATAAGAATTGTGTTTAATATTAAACTTTTAAAAGTATGGTTGAGTTTGAATCACATAAATATTACCAAATGATATATTAGAAAATATTTGCGGGAGAAATGAAAAGGAAAGACGATACAAATATGGGGTAGATGGAGGACATAATACAAATAAGGAAATAAGATGCATTGGAGCAAATATAAAAAATGAATTTGTTGAGGTTGAACCAATGTTTTGTCTCCCCCACATTTTATTTCCTTACAAACTTGCGTTCACCACTGTTTTCTATCCCTGATACCTTCTTGGATCCAAAACGGTATCTTTAATGTCATATCTAATCTCCTGGAAAATAGATGGCTGACGCCCAACTTTAGAGCGTTGAATGAATGTAGTTTATTTAGTGTCCCACTATGTGCTCTTGCTTACTGAAACTCTCCTGCTTTTAGTTTGTATTGCTAGGTGCTATCCCTTTCCCATCTGATGTGAAGCGGCTAAAACAGCTTGGTGTTTTTGGTGTTGTTACCATGAATGAGCCATATGAGACACTAGTTTCAACTTCTTTATATCAGGTGATTACTTTGAAATTTGTTACTATTTTTTTTAAACCAGACCATGTTGTCATGGTCCTCATGATTGCAACTATGGAATTGAGCAATTAAGATTTCTTTTCTGAAGGTAAGTTTCATGTTCTGTGCACTCTCTCTTGAATAATTTCTTATGTCAATATATGTGTACCCTTGATCAAAAGCACAACAAAACAGTTTTCTAAACAAAAAAAATTGGTTGTCGAGACTTGAGAGCTTGAAATTTTAAAAACGAAAACTTTGGCCCTTGATACTTCGGCAGTTAAATCAAGGGAAAATTATTGGAGGAGGACTAAGACATAGTCAGTTTCCCTAAATATGACTACTAAAACGAATATGACTAAACACACTTAATTAGATTAAATTACCCTTTTATATTTTAAATGTCTCAAAACAAAAAACATTCACTGCTCTCGTCCAATTAAATATACACCATATTTATATGTGTCACTGCCCCACATTGCTTTTTTCGGCATCAATGCCCTTCCCACTGAATTTACCTTTTTTTTGCCTCCTCGTTACTCCCCTTCACCGACGTCATTGCTCTTCACTACTCTCCATGGCGGCGTTATTACTCATTATCATTAAACAACAAAAAGAAGAAAAAAGGGATTTCAAAAAGCACACTATGACATCCATTGCCTTTGGTTTTCAGCGCAGCACTCTCTCTCATTGCATTTCGTCACTTCACAAATTCAGTTGTCGTAGATCATGGCCAAAGAGTGTGAACATCTTAACTCCAGTATCCGTGGGCAACCACTGACATAGCCCCGTTATTGGAGGAGTATTCTGAGTGAACACCAGCTCACCGGAGTTGTCATTGGCCAGACCATGGAGCAAAAATGGATAAAACTCCAACCAAAATGTTCATTTTCTCAGGCAATGTTGAGTAAAAACCAAAATTTCATTGCCCTTCCCCACTGACCCTAATTTGAAGAAGAAGAAAATGAAGAAGAATTATAGCTAAAGGTATACCCTTCCTGGAGCTGGGAGAGCAGAGCGGAGGAGATGATCGACGGGCTGACGGGATGAAGGAAGCGACAAGGGGCTGAGAGGCTAGCGGCGGTGACAATTTAGAGAGGGAAAGTCGATTGAGAGAGGCCATAGGGATGCGATCGACTATTAACGTCAGGAAGAGAGGGAGTCAATGTTTGGAGTGAGAAAATTCGGATTATAATAAGCTAGTGGACTATTTATCCATATAAAAAATTGTTTTTTATTAATTAAATATGCTCTTTAAATATTACTCGTACGAAATAAATATTATTTTAGGGAAACAACACATAAAGTCATACATAGGAAAGAGGAGTATTATACTATTATACACATGTGTATGGAAATTTTCTCTTATATCAATTGTCATGCTAAGGTTCAGTTTGGTTGCAGAAAAATTAATATATGTGTAAAGTGCCTTCCTGAAAATAATTTGCTCTCTGTAAATTAAAAAAAAATCTCAAATATGAAATTAGCGCATTTGTCACAAAAGGTCAGACTAAAGGAAAGTATCAGTTCAGGAAAATGTTTTGCGGGGCCAATTCAGGAAGTCTAGATTCTAGAAATCATTTTCAGATTTTCTAAGAATAAAAAGGAACTAGTCCTTTTTTTCCCAGGAGCCCCAGCATGGCAAGATATATAAGTATATAACTTTCCCAACCATCACTTCATCCAATGGTGAAACTAGTGGTATCTTTCTGCTTATCCTTTTCTTTTCTAACCTATTCTGTATATACTCCGTATTAAACTATTAATGTGAAGTTGCTACTATCTATATGTTGTAGGCTCAAGGTATTCGTAATCTGGTTCTTCCAACAAGAGATTATATGTTTGCACCTTCACTGGCTGATATATTTCGAGCTGTAGACTTCATCCATGGTAACCTTATAACCTCTTGAATTCGGGGAGCGATGCGCTAATTTTTTCAGATTGAATTTGATATGTCTCCTTCCCTTTTTGTACACACAGAGTGATGCTCAAGGAAATAAATTTTAAGAAACAAAAAATATTCCCCCAGATGGAGGAAGTAATGTGTTCTTATTTGATGTAGCCATACATGTTTTAAATTCTTTATCATATAATGTTTGTGTGTTAAGAGAATGCATCACATGGACAAAGGACATATGTGCATTGTAAGGCTGGCAGAGGGCGTAGTACGACAGTTGTGTTATGCTATTTGGTGAGATGAACATTTAAAATGATTTGATTTAAGGATCAGCTGATTGTTTGCTAATCTTTCTGAAGTTCTTTTGCATTATAGGTTAGGTACAAGCAGATGACACCAAATGATGCTTATGATTATGTGAAAGCAATACGGCCAAGGGTGTTGTTGGCCTCATCCCAGTGGAAGGTCAACATTTGCTTCATTACTCTGTTCGTTTATATTCATATACTCCCTCCGTCCCTCTATTTTCCCTCTAACTTTGTCCCATATTACCTTTTTTGCCTGTCCCACCACTAAGTTAGTCTCATGCACTATTTGGTAATTTGTAATATTTGGGTGGTTGCCGTTCATCCTCAGTTTATTCACACTTTACCAATTCCAATGCCTACCACACATTTCCACTTTTGACTATAGTATATTTTATAGTCGTGGATGTGTTAAACCACCTTTTGAAACAAACCTGCTACTGTGGATCAACACAATCTTTTGGATCTTTTTCTGCATGTAATTGATGCGTTATAAACATATTAAGATGTAGCTAGGTGAGCTATTTGTATTATTTTCGTTCAAAATAACAACTCAAATTAAAAAAAATGGTAGAACTTTCTTCACGCAATATTTTCCACAGGAACTCCCAACTTATTTATGCATGATTTTTTAATTAAAACTGAAATGTAGATATGTCTACAAATAGCCATATGAACTCAGACAGAGGACATGGAATATTTGATGCGACTAAAACACACTCATTTTTATTTATCACAATTAATGGCTACATAAGCATTAAAGTTACTACCACCCAGGGTTTTAACTTTTAAATAGCCGTAGCGGTAGTGGTCATCTCAGTAGCGGCCGTTGTGGGCTTGTGGCCGCTGCAATGCGTATAGCGGTCGTTTCGGCGTGAAATATATTCAAGTGCGCAAAACATATAATTAATGAGTGTTAAAGTTAATAGAAACATTATGAATATTTGTTTGAACACTCATATGTGAACACCTAATCAACCAATAAGAATATCACATTAAAAGAGTGATAATTAAAAAGATTGGTAAACTAAATAATTATTACACACACAATAAAAAATGTCTTCAAACTAATCAAGTCTTAACGCATCTTTAAATTAAAAAGATTGTCACATAAAATGACACATTACAAACACAGCTCAACATGTATCGACATGATATAAAAAGTTCCAAATATTACACTGTCACCACCTACAAATACATCTTCAGTCCCAAATTGTATTGTTAAGTCAACATTTTTTCATCAACCGATATTAAAGTTAAATCATCCTTATTAATAATTAATTCGGTTTTAATAATTAAAATTTACATATTTATTAGTATTTGGTCCCATAATGTATGGGGATACATGTACATTTAATTTAGAGTTTCACTCCATGTGCCACCATTAATGTATTCCGCACCATGCACACAACATTTACACATTTACACCTCAACTAGTTCGTGATGCACTGCCGGAGGTGCCGGTAGCGGCCTGTAGCGGTTACATAGCGGTTTTTTGTACGATTTGAATTTCACACATTGATAGCGGCCTGTAGCGGTAGTGGAGGCTACCGCGACCGCTATATTGCGGCCTTGATATCCGTAGCAGGTGGCAAATTAAAACCCTGCTACCACCGTCAGCCCCAACTAACAGTGAAATTTCCGAAAAATTTCCTTGAAACTGTTGTGTGGTACTTCCTGTTGTGTCACTGTGTGGTACTTTAGGTTAGAATTATTACACTTTCTAAAATAAGGACTAAATAAATCCTAGTTAAGTAATACGTTATACGTTGTACTATAACATAAGTGGTCCTATTTGAGAAAACTCTTAAAATGTTGGCCAGTTGGTTTCATATGGAGATTTTTTGTCTATGTTTCTATTAAAGATCAGATTTTAGAGCAAAATGTAAAAATTTAGTATGCAGTTTCTTAATTTAATACTTCCATTGTCTGTAAGATATAGTCTTATATTTCATTTTTGGATGTCCCCTTTTTAATATTAGAAAAATTAGGAAACTAACAGAGATGTTTTTTCTTAGCATTTCAGCCAAAATGACATGAGTAAATACCTTTTTCTTTTGACTGAGGGAGTAAAGGCATTGTTAATTTTTTGTTTTGGCAAAAACAAGATATGGATATCTTATCTATGCAGCATAGGCATGGACAGTTTGGCGTCTAATGATTCTTTTTGGGAATTACACAGGCAGTCCAGGAATTCTATCATCATCTGATGATGAAGACGGGTAGCACATACTCCTTGACCTTCTCTATCACTAGTAGCCCCGGGCTCGTATCTACAAAAAATCTGTCGCCATTTGATGATAGCTCTGTGTTAGTAATAACTGATGCAGATCTCGAGGGATATGATCCCAATCATGTGCTTGTGGCTGCAAGAAATCAGATATGGTCTGATCTTAGTATGGTTTGGCGGTTTCGAATTTCTAGTTTGGCAGCGTTGTCCAGAGTTTCTTGTCTTTGGCTCCATTGCCAACATCATTTAAAGATCCCCGGCTAAGGCCTATTCAATTATGGGGCTTCAGCTTTCTGTATTAATTTGTGTTTGTAAATCTTCGTTGTATTTATTAGAATATAATAGATGCAACTGACACATACGGCTTATCTTCTATTTGAACCCTGGATAACTGTATATATATGAATCGTGTTCTGCTAGCTTCATCCTTGTCTGGTTTTCATTATGAAGCATGGATTGGAACTCGAATTGGAATTGCTGTATAGAATTTTTACCAAACCATGACTTACCATGTCACATTGTCACCTAGCATCACTTATGCAGTTATGTGATATGAAGCGGGAAGAGCATGTGGCGGGACCGGACTTGGGCCCACTTCCGTGGGCCGATTACGGGCTGTTTAATTAATATTTATTATTCCTTTTATTTTGTTTCCTAATTTAATTTGTTTCCTAGTAGGATTTATTTAGGACTTCTATTCTTACTAGAATTAGAGGTTTCCTATTTCTATTTAGTTTCCTAGAATGATTTAATTAGGAGTTCTATTAGAACTAGAGGTTTCCTATTCTATTTAGTTTCCTAGAATAATTTAATTAGGATTCCTATTCTTATTAGACCTAGAGGGTTATTTATACCCCTTGTATGCTTCATTCTTGATAATCTGGGGAATAAAAGTTTGGTTTAGCCTTTTGGCTTTGGGCAACGATATTTATTTATCGTTGATTATCTGGGCAACGGTTCACCCCGTTGATTTTACTTTTCTGTTCTTATCAATTGGTCCGACCTGCCGGATCCCCGTCCCGCCAAGATGACAAGAACTCAAAACGAACGACTGACGGAATTGGAGGCTGAACAGGCCCTGGTAAATCAAAAGCTCGATTCACAAGGAGAGAAACTGGATGTACTGGCTCGGAAACAGGAGGAGCAGGCCGCCCGGCTTGCGGAAATTGCAGAATCCCTGGCAGCAATCGCAAAGGCCATGGTACCGCCAGCGAAGTCTCCAAGCACGACCATCGAGAGCGGCTCCTCCGCCCACATCGCGACTGCTTTCACCGACGAGGGCGGACCGCGCAGCGCATCCACGACACTGCTTCCCTCATTCGACGGTGAAGACCCAATTGGGTGGCTGGCAAGAGTGGAGCAGCAGTTCGAGCTCAACAGGACCCCACCGGATAGACAAATTGCAGCGGCTAGGGTTTCTATGGAAGGGGCAGCCCTCTATTGGGTGACATGGTTAAAGGCGCGCAAACCCGGCATATCCTGGGAGGAATTTAAGCAAGCCTTGGTGGCTAGATTTGATTCCCGATATCAAGGAAACAGATTTGAGCGGCTAGCTGGCGTTAAACAAATTGGGCAAGTGGAAGATTACAATACTTTGTTTGTACAACTCGCCAGTCAAGTACCCGGATTAACTGACGATCATTACTTGGGCTATTACATGAGTGGGCTTAAGGAGATAATCCGAAGCTCGCTGCGATTACTTCGACCAAACAACCTGGAGATGGCTATGGAATTAGCTCGCGAAGTGGAGTATAATCTGTCCGTCCAAAGTGGAGAAAGTGGCAGCCTGAATTATCATTCTTCGGGGGTACGTTCCAGCAGTTTTGTAAGGGCAAACACGGGTCCCCCGTTGACTGCCACCGGTGGCAGCTTACAGGGCTCAGGGGGCAGCTTTGCGAAGGATAGTGGACAGCCTCCGGGGACAAAGTCAGGGCTGTCTGGGCAGCCTACGACACGATCCCAGTTCACCCGTCTTGCGCCAAAAGAGTTAGCAGATTTGAGGGCAAAAGGATTATGCTTTAGATGCAAGAAACCATTCACGCCAGGGCATGATTGTCCCTTTAAGCAGCTGCGGGTAATGATAGCCGAGGAGGATGAAGAGTTGGACCTCAAGCAACATGAATTCTGCGAAATAACCGGCCAGGAAAGGGTTCATGAAGGAGAAGAAGGATATTTTCTAGTCTATACTATGTCTGGAAATTTCAGCTCCCAATCAGCGAGTTTTCAACCTTGAGGACAAGGTTATTTTAAGGGGGGTGGATTGATATGAAGCGGGAAGAGCATGTGGCGGGACCGGACTTGGGCCCACTTCCGTGGGCCGATTACGGGCTGTTTAATTAATATTTATTATTCCTTTTATTTTGTTTCCTAATTTAATTTGTTTCCTAGTAGGATTTATTTAGGACTTCTATTCTTACTAGAATTAGAGGTTTCCTATTTCTATTTAGTTTCCTAGAATGATTTAATTAGGAGTTCTATTAGAACTAGAGGTTTCCTATTCTATTTAGTTTCCTAGAATAATTTAATTAGGATTCCTATTCTTATTAGACCTAGAGGGTTATTTATACCCCTTGTATGCTTCATTCTTGATAATCTGGGGAATAAAAGTTTGGTTTAGCCTTTTGGCTTTGGGCAACGATATTTATTTATCGTTGATTATCTGGGCAACGGTTCACCCCGTTGATTTTACTTTTCTGTTCTTATCATTATGTGGTTTTAACATTAGCATCAATGACATGTCATAAGTGATGCTATTGTCACTTAACAGTAGTTAACCAAGCCAGTTAATAATGGTCTGTATAGGATATTAGGATGTGTTTGATTGTACTGAATTATATAGTTCGAGGACTACATTGGACACAATTAAAGTAACATGTTTGAGTTGGATAATGGAGTAGAGACATTGAAGATAACTTTAATTTGACCAAGCAAAATTGAAAATTGTGCATTATATGTAAGGATTGTGTTAACCTCAATTTTTGTTTATACTGATGATTATTAAGAGCTGGTTGCTTATATTTTACTATTTTTATACTTCTCACTTTCTCAGATGTCTTTCTGCTTTACAAATTACAATGTTTATAATCAAATTTCTTAATACTTAAACTCTATTTTACGGAGAACGTTTTTTTAGTTTCAAAGGGACGGAGTATTTTCTAATACCACGTACGCATAGTGATGGACCGGGCCTCGGGCCGGGCCTGACCGTTTTTTTGGGGAAAGTTGAGGCCAGGAACCGGCCCGGTTATCCACCGGGTCCGGGCCTGTTTTCCACCGGTTCAAGTTTTTTTTTGCTTTTCTAATTAACCCCCCCCCCCCCCCCAAACACCCAACCCGGGAAAAGAAAAAAAAATTGAAAAAAAAAGGCCCGAGCCGGGCCCACTTCCAATTTTGGCTGACCCAAGCCCGCCCTATATAACCCCCAGCCGGGCCCATGAAGAATAACTTCCAATTCGATCTGCCTCTAATACTGTCTTGGCATTAAAGTGAAAGGCAGTGCAAAGATCATCTGGCCACGGATATTATGCATTATACAACCTCCAGTACCATATCAGTCTTTAGGGGACAATTCTGCATTGATTTTAAAATGATAAATGCGCGTATCGATTTAACCACAGCTGGACACGTTCCCTACAACACAATTAGAATAGTGTACCCAACCACTCATGATCAGCATATAACTGTCCATCACATAAATATTGCAGACAACTGCCGCCTCCTAAACATGGGTACGTAGTGATGGACCGGTTCCGGGCCGACCGGCCCGTGGCCCGGCACTGTTTGGAACAGGCCCGGCCCGGTGGCCCGGCCAGAGACCGGTCCGGGTAGCTTACTTGAACCAACGCCTGTTAAACATAACTTGAGCTAAAATTGAGACTTGTAACACCTTAAAGCTAGGAAAACCATCAAAATCCGATCTCAACACGCATCAAATGCGTGTCTAAATACGGACTTATCATAGTCACATACTATGAAGCTCAAAACAACAAGGATATAAAGTTCCCTAAGAATGAACAACGTAGGGTTAGAGCAGTATGCAAGCATGAACACTGCAATTGGACCATATTTGGATCCAATAGTAACCCCAGTTGTCCTTTCACAATCAAGACATACTATTCTAGGCATACATGTGGTGATCAACATGATAACAAGATTATCACATCTGGTTTTCTTGCTAAGGTGTATGAAGATGTGTTCAGGATTAACAAGAAGTGGGGTAGAAAGGAGTTTCAACAACATGTCCAGAAGAAATATAAATGCAAGCTAAGTAAGCATCAATCTTACCGGGTTAGGAGAATGGCAATGAAGAAGCTGGAAGGTGAAGATAGCAAACACTTTGAACTACTGTGGGACCACTGTGAAGAGTTGAGGAGGAGCAATCCTGGAACTACAATCAAAATGAAACTTGATGGTGAGTTTACTTTGAATGGGAGGTCCAGATTTCATAGATTGTATATTTGCTATGGTGCTTCCAAAGTAGGTTTCTTGAGTGGTTGTAGACCTCTCATAGGTCTAGATGGCTGTCACCTTAAGGGTTGTCAAAAAGGAGGACAGCTTCTCTCAGCCATCGGAGTGGATCCAAACAATTCCATGTATCCTATTGCATTTGCAATTGTGGAAGGGGAGCTCAAGGAAAGCTGTTCATGGTTTCTTGGTTTACTAGATGAAGACCTTCAAATATCAAATAATCCAAACTTCTGGACCATTATATATTTGTATCAGACAAGCAAAAAAGACTCCTACCTGCAGTTGAAGAGCTTCTTCCAGGTGTTGAACACAGATTCTGTGTTAGGCATATGCTGGCTAACTTTGTGAAAGATGGATTTGGTGGCCAAGATTTGAAAGAACACTTGTGGGGTGTATGCAAAGCTACAACTAAGGTTGCATTTGAGAAACAGATGGAAGAGTTGAACAAGCTAAACAAGAAAGCTGGTGAGTGGTTGGCTACCAGAGACCCAAGTCACTATTGTAGGGCTTTTTTTTAACACTTTCCCTAAATGTGATATGCTGTTGAATAACTTGTGTGAGTCCTGGAATAGTTCTATCCTACATTTTAGGGACAAAAGCATTTTGGCAATGTGTGAAAGCATTCGTATATACCTCATGGTCAGGATGCAACAAAATAGAGATAAAATGAGAGAGTCAGTTCTTCAAGTTTGCCCCAAGATACTGAAGATAATAGAAGAAGCAAAAGACAGGGCAAATGATTGCATTGCCTACTGATGTGAGTTTTCTCGCACTTAAAATAGATTGTAATATAGTGGTGTAAGTACGAGTATCGTCTCCACAGGGACGAACAAAAGGGAATCAAGAATTAACTAAATTCAACGATTAAAATAAATAAAATAAAAGCGTCGTGCGAGATTGCATGGTTGCAAAATTAAACTAATGCGAATGAACAATTAAACTAGGGGGTTCTTTCTAATTAACGACAAAGGGAATAGGAATTGATTCCGGGGTCAACCAGATTTCTGGCAGATCAGGCCTAATTTACATGAATTTAATTTAATTGAGCCTAGCTAAT